TTTTTTGGTACGCCAACTTTTGATGACTATGAAATACTGTACCAATAATTTCTAGAACAAATCTCCAAAAAAATGTTTTTCTCAAAAATGACTAAAAAATGCACTCATTTGCCTTAAAATACTTAGCTATGTCCAATTTTGTGCACAAAATTGGTTTCTTACAGTAACATTGCAACAAATAAAACCTTGTCTCGACCCTCCTCAAATACCTACAAATATTTTTCTTAAATTAGGTTTCGTATTACACATCCATTGGGAATTTCAGCAGAACTATGTACAATTAATCCTCACAAACACTCTTCGATAGTTAGCTAGAAATCTTTGTGTATTGTATAATTAAACATCTTTAGATAACATGATTTTAACAAAGAATTTGGCTCATATCTCTAAATATTCACTTAAAAAAAAAAAGAAAAAATTCTGGTTACAGAACAGAGAGCTAATGAAAGAGAAACTATAAAAAAGTGCTTTGTCTTTTTTTGTTTTGTTTATTTTTCAGACAAGTCCCATTTCTTACCACTACAGCCTAAAATCAGACCCGGTACCAGGTGTCCTCAGAAAGGATTTTCTTACCACTACAGCCTAAAATCAGACACCAGGTGTCCTCAGAAAGGATCCCGGACCAGTATCAGGCCAAGGATACAGGTACTGTGTAAAGATATTTTATTTAAAAAAAAAAGACTTAACTCCAAAGTCTTTTTGGAGTTAAGTCTTTTTTATGCCTTTCAAAATCAGTCTTTGGAAGCTTCTTTGTCTTGAGTTTGACTCTGGACTCTCCAAAAGCGTCCTGATTTGGCTAGCATCCGTCATGCCGCCATGATTTGATTGACATCCATGTCGCACACTTAACATTTAACTGAATTTAAAAAAAAGGAAAAAAAAACTCTTTAAAACAATGTACACAAAACCGATCTTCGTTGATCGTCACTGTCCCCAGCAGCTGCTATTATTCTGTCTATGCAACGTGGAACTGAACCACTCAATGTGGGCCACATCCAATTTGGACTGTCCTCTTACCTGTGGGCTCCTTAAACATTACTTGAATCCTTCAAGTTCTGTTTGTTTGAGGAGTTGGTCGTGGGAGGAGTTCGAGCCCAGTGTAACTCCAGTGTTGAGTCAGAGAGGGGAAAGTCAAAGCTAAGTCGCCCGGGGTCAAATTCAGTCTGACCTAAGAGGACCAAGGTCCAAGGTCACAGAAGAGTTTGGGTCAAAGTCACGTGAGGTTTGAGTTGAATCCCGGGGCAGTTCACGTGGTTTTTAAGTCTGAATCTAAGTCATTCTGAAACGTTCCAGTTGGGTCTGAGTCAAATCCCTAAGACAGGCTTGCCCAAACTGTTCCACAAAGGGGCGCTGTGGCTGCAGGTCTTTGTTCCAACCAAGCAGTAGCACACCTGACGTTTAATCACATTTGATCCCGTGATCTCAGTCTTCAGACAACTGATTGGTCGAACTGTGAGCTCTCGGTTGGTTGGAACAAAAACCTGCAGCTACAGCGCCCCGTTGAGGAATAGTTTGTACATGCCTACCCTAAGATACTAAGTCAGAGTGAATGTGTCAAATGTCAAATAGATTAAACTCTGTCTCAGTCCTTCTCCTGCTCCCCCCCTCTCCCGCAGGAGCTCAGTCCCTCAGGTGGAGGGTCGAGGGAGGGGTGGACATGGAGTCTGAACGTCCGTCAACTGCAAAATGTTCCAGTGGACGTTACATGATAGGTGGCAAACACCGAGACGGTTCCTGGCTGTCGTCTCTCTCCATGCCCACGTCCTCCTGGGGTTTGATGATGATGTGAACGGGCCTCTCACCTCCTCCCTGCTGCTTGGTTTCCGTGGAGACTTTTCCGTCACCTTCGCACACGTCCTCTTCGGCCGAAGCGCCAATCGGCCGCAGGCGTTCCGACGTTGCCGTGTTCGTCCCGGTTTCTGAGCTGTCTCTCTTCAGCTTGTCGTCACTGCTGCTCTCCGAGCCGACCTTCTCCGCTGCACCATGGAAACAGAGAAGACAAGTGTCGGCTGATGGGTAAATATAAATGCAGTGAGAACAACGTCAGGTCGACTGTTTTAGCAGACTGGGTCACAGCACGGTCATGTGTCAAGTGTGCAGCAGCGACTGTTACGTTTTTTTTACAAATTTGAAAGTTAGAGAGTGCTAACTTAGTATTTTAAGTGTTTAGCTAACCTTTAGCTCTTGTTGTTGATGTTTCATTAAATGTTAGGCTCTTGGAGAGATTGACTGTAGCTTAACATCAGTTATTTTTACTTACTTTTTATTTGAGCTTTTTTAGGTTTTAATTCCTTTCTGACCTACTTATATATATTTTTTTTAGCTTGTTTCGTTTTGTTTTCAGCTATTTATATCGTTTGACTAGTGTTGTTCTGCAGTCTGTTCTGTAGTGTAGCGGTTAGCACGCCTGCCCTCAGAAGCAGAAACCAGAGAGTCCTGGGTTCAAATCCCAGAGGAACCAAATTCTTCCACAATTTTCCAAACATGGGATCAATTTTTTTTTTTAGCTTGGTTAGTGAAACAAAGCTTTTTTGTTTCACTAACCTTTAGCCATAGCTTTGTCTGTTAGCAGTAATACATTAAACATGGTGAATTCTCTCTGTATTGTTTTCTCACCAGACTTCCCGTTGGTTTGTCTGTCTGCGCTGCTGTAACCGTCGGTGGTCTTTTTCACCACGGGTCTGGTTCTTGGCCGGACTTTGTTGAAATTTCCTTCCAGGATCCATGCGTGGTTCAAACCCTCGTCTGGAGTCATGCGCTTGGTTGGATCCCACCTGAAAAAGCAGAGCAGAGTTTATAGAGGCTGCCGCTCACTCAGCTTGAGGAGTTGGTGTGAACGGAGGTGACATACGCAAGGCAGCGTTTGATGAAGTCCAAGAACAGAGCGTCGGTGGTTTTCAGAGCCTCTGACAGCTCCTTGGAGTTCGGCCGCCGCTTCTTCCCTTTGCTGTTGGTGATGTTTCTGGGGTTCCCTTTGGAATCTGCCAACAGAAGATGACGTTCAATTACCTTACAGAGTTACCAACATGGATTACCGATTACACATTTTTGTTTTAACCACAGATTGGGGCCAAATAGAATTAGTTTGATTGTCTAAGAATTTTTACATCAATGTCTAAATTTTAAGTATAATTAAATTTGACTTTACAAAATATTTTTCTCTACAATTTTCATGAATGTTTGATTCTTAAATAAAGTCTAAATACCTTTAAAATACAAATAATTGTAAAAAGTTTGTAATTATTTGTTAGATAAATTGTAAATTCTTTAAGTAAAAAATTCTAACATTGTAATGTGACGTTTCTAGTTTCCATAAGACTCAATAAGAATAAGAATAGAAAATATATAAGTAATAATAACAATAGATTGGACTCATCACACATAAGATATAAAAATACAATAAAAAAATAATTCCTACCAAAGAACAACCTCTTCCTGGACGCTGACTGAATGAAGTCAGTTGGAGGCATACCAAGAACCTAGGAGGGACAATATGTATTTCAAAATGTGTTTTGATTCAATTAAAATAAAGCTGTAAATTATTCACTTTTATTTATATTCCTGTCTTTTTCTTACCTCCATAATGCAGGCTATCTGCTCCACCTCGCTCTCTCCAGGAAACAGCGGGTATCCTGTGTAGAGCTCAGCCAGGATGCAGCCCAGACTCCACATGTCAATAGCCATGTTGTAGTTGTGACCCAGGATGACCTCTGGGGAGCGGTAGAATCGACTCTGGATGTAGGTGTACACTGGAAAAGTTAGATTTTTAAAGAGTAGGTTAAAGTTAGAATTCGACCCAACAACGGGCAAAGGCTAGCCTTAAAAGCCAACAAAAAATAACTAGTATTAACGTTGCTTTTAACGATCTCTCACCTCTCTGCTGCTCGTAGCAGCTGGACCCAAAATCCACAACCTTGATGTTTCCTGGTCCTCTCTGAGACAGGAGGATGTTCTCCTGTTAGGAGGAAAGAAATGCAAAGCACATCAGCTGCTGCAATACTGCCAAGATCCACAAGATGGAGCAAATTTCACCCCATTAGTGCACACAGTCTTCACAATGCAGAGAAAGTGGTCCAAAGTGTTGTACCGGTTTGAGGTCGCAGTGGATGATCTTCTCTCTGTGCAGCATCTGCAAACATCTGAGAAGAGCGTGCGTGAAGCGACGGATGAGAGCCAGACTGAAGCCCTGGAAGTTGTTTTTTTTGATGAGCTCGTACAAGTTCACCCTGCGAGAGATAAAGAACAGACAACAAAGGTTTAGTGAGTTTGCCATGTGGTTATATATGGGCCACAGAACGGGTTAGAAAAAAAGCTAAGTCACCTTAACAACACTGAAAATATACACAGGAAAATACAGGACTCGGGCAAAAAGTGCAGAACTCAGTAAAAGTTAGCTTAGCGGCTATCGAAATAAAAACGTGCCCAATAACAACGTGGTCAAGTAAAGTAGTGAACTGTTAACAACAGAGAAGCTAAATCTGTCAACACTACCAAACTTTTTGAGAAGCTAAATCTGTCAACACTACCAAAATATTTGGCAAAACTAAAAAAAAACAACATAAAACAATTGCACAGAAAAGCACATAGTGCTAAAATAGCTAGCCAAAAAAATTAGCCCAGAAAACAAAGCTAGAAAGCTACAAAGTTAGCCAAACAAAAATAAAATAAATGAGTCAAAGAAATATTTGGGTCGGGAATTTCTAAATGGAAAAATAAATGAACTTTTATGAAATTTATAAATTAACTGACTAGCAGGAGAGACAGTCAACATGTTCTCAGATGCTAGTAGAAAGTTAACAGTTAAAGTTAACAACGCAGAGGCCAAACCAAGCCTGTCCAGGTGCAACGGTCAGGCTGCGAGACAGCACTTGGACTTCAGTTTCACCGCCGTCTCATAAATTGTCTCCTGTCGATGTGTGTGAAAACACCACAATGTAATTGTTTTTCACATGAAGCCTGTTAACTGCTGCCACTCCGCACTCGGCATCGATCGCATACCGATAGATAATCTGAGCATCGCATTCGGATAAGGACGCAGACGTGCGGCCTCTACCTCTTCTATTTCTTGCCCCCAGTGATAAATGCAAACTTCTTTAGACGCTGCAACAGGAGCCTTCACACCACCAAGCAATAAGCAGTAAGAGATATCGCTCTAATCAAGGCTTTAACTAAAGGATTCAGTGACAGTAACGTAACACCAGGAGGCAGTCCTAGACGTCCTCTAAAGGTCACTCAGCCAGTGTGTGGCGCTAAACTGGCATCAGTAGAAATCATCACTACAATATGGAGGTGGGGGGGTCAAAACCTGATTTTCCAAAACCATACCTTTGGTCTTACAAAAATATGTGGACATCACCAAAAAAAAACCCACTGTACCCACTGAAGCCAGGTGGGGGCAGTGTCATTCTTTGAGGATGTTCTACTTTTAGGTGTAAATTTTATTTGGGATAAAGGGTAATCATTTTATAGAAATAAACATACAGGCCAATCAGAAGACGGAAAAGAATTTTAGAATGGAAAATGTTTAAAGTTTTAAATAAATATCATTTAAAAATTATATATTTTAACCAAGGGGTGAAAACTGTAATACTGATAAGAACTCGTCTCTCGATCGACCGCGGTCGTGTCGAGGTGGTTATTAGCGATAAGTGAGACCTGTGTTCCTGTGATCAGGGATCAGGGAGAAAGTGACAAAGCTCCCTGGATTAAAGGATGAATTATTCACTGCCGTCTTCATCTTCTCGTCTACGGTCATTTTCTCGACATGCCAAAGTTTACAAACCCGAGGAGCTCGAAGGAGATGCACAGGTGGTTCCTGAAGTAGAAGTACTCCTTCATGTGGATCACGTTGTGGAGGCTGTCTTTGTCTTTCCTCTTAATCACGTCCAGGATTTTCAGCTCCACCAAAGCCTGGTGGTGGAACCTGCAAACAGACGTTCAGATGTTAGATCGTCAGTGATCTTGGTCAAGAAGACAGAAAAGAAAAAAAAAAACTTAATTAAACATTTAACCCTTTCTAGCCTAACTTTTCGGACTACAGTTAACTTTACCGTATTTTGCAGTATATTTAATTTAGTTTTCGCCCAAACTTTATCTGTTACTGGCATGTATGTCTTAAATGTATTTTTTATGAATGACATATATATTTAACAAACACTGGGCAAAACAATAACCAATTATAACCAATAATTAATTTTTTTCAAGTAGTGCATTTATGTTTACGTCATTTTCGTCTTCGCAGAAAAAAAATCTTTGGACTCTGCTGCTCCTGGAGAAACCAGACCTGAGACTTTTTTCCACCTGTGGCAGTTTGCACTCATTTTGTTTTCTACATTATTGAAGCGTCGGTCAGGCCTAGTGGCTGCTGCAGTTTAACCTATAGGCCTGAGCTGGTCAGTGCACAAGAGATCTGAAGGAGGAGCAGGACAGGTAAGCTAACACCAGGAGGTTCTGGCTTGTGTCATGCTAAATCAAGATCTCATTCCAGAAACGCAACGTGATCCCGGGGTTGGACGCGTAGAAAGAGAATTCAAAACGTGGAACCAGATTAGACCAAAGTTCTATTTGTTGCCTTTAACGTGATGAGAAATTGACCAGTTTCACAGTAACAGTGAAATGTTGCACCAATATTATGTTGCCTTACCTTTTCTTATTGCGTATCATTTTGATGGCTACCAGCTCGTTGTTTTTGTGGTCCAGACATTTTAGGACCTGCCCGAAGGAGCCTTTCCCAATCACTTCAAGGACCTCGAACCTGTAGCCAATGTGGTCATGTAGTACCTGGATGAAAGTAGATCAAGAGCAGAGGTATTATTGTAGGACAATTCACCAACAGATAAATAAACATCAGCAGCTAAATCCATGAACACATCAGTCCCTCAGTCTGCACATGCCATAACTATAAACTATGTTTCCTCACAAATGTCCTGCACCATCTTCAAGTACTTCTCAGCCACTCCTGTATTTCATCATTTACAAATTTTCCTCTCTCAGCACCTCATCATATTTAATCTCTAGATCTTCAAAGATCTGTGAGCTACAAAATATGAGGCCACATGAGGAACCAAAGGTCCTTTATATTTTTATCCACCATGTTTTATTGATGTTTGTTTGGTGACTTCAGTTCAGTTTAGAACTGCAGAAGTGACTCAACACTTAGATTAAACCTAGAATCTTCCTTTGTCCATGCCAATCAAATTACCCTGATGTAGCTTCCGTGCTCATCATCATATCCTGAGTTCTGCGGCGCTCCTTGGGAACCTTCGATCTTCTGAGATCCGAGACCCAGGAACCAGATCTCGGTGTAGTCCATGATCTCCTCTTGTTCGAACGCCGTCAGACGCTCAGGGAAGTTCTTCAGCGCTTCTGCAACAGAAAATAGGAGGAGGAGGAGGAGGAGGAGGAGGAGGATGAATCACCGTCATATCTATGACACCTCTACCAGGAGGAGATTGTGAACCAAGTGCCAAACACGTTATTTTTAAATGGCAACACAACAACTACAGATAAATAAATAAAAATAAAACAACCACCAGAGATTAGCCACCACCGAGGCCTGCGTGGACGTATCCACACAGTTCCCTCCTACAAACTCTGCCTGGTAGCTGTAGCTCTTTTAATTCGGTCTTTAAAAACCCACCCACCTGTGGGAGTCATGGGTAATCTCATTCCCTCGTACACCTTCTCCTTCTCCAGCTTGTTGCCCAAAATCCTGCTGTTTCGTGAGACTGACATTTTATCCATTGTTGTACCGAAGCGCATCGTAAACTGCTGGGGGGGCTTTGGCCTCTCATCCTGTGCACGAAGGATCACACGAGAAAGGGTAAGAAGAGAAGCCTTCATGGACAATGGACAACGGACACACGACAACGTCTTCTATGACGTGCATGTAAAACCAAGAGTGTTGAACAGAGTGAGGCTGGGGGGGTTTACCCTCACCAAGTGTGTCTGAAAGTTGTTTTGCACCCCTTTGTTGGCAATCTGGGGCAGAATGTTGTCCGTCTGCTGATGCTGGTTTTTGGCATTGCTCACCATCACCTGGACGACCGGGGGCTCCAGCTGAGGCAGGGAGCCCACGCTGGGGCCGAACTTCTGTAAAGCACAGAATTTAGAAAAAAATTAAGTTAAAGCGCTGGCTTTCAAAGAGTGAGGCTCCCCTCCCCTGGAGGGGGCGCCAGAGGTGGAAAGTGTAAAATGAAAGGAGACGGTGGGATTATTGGATTGACAATATGCTACATTTTGAATAAATACGGAGCTGCATCTCCAGATATGGACATAAAAAAAAGTTTTATCCCTAAATAAACCCCATCTATTTGGTCCTGCTGTGGCTTCTTTTTATTTTTCTTTTAAAGTCTGGAAACAACTTTGTCTTAAAGTTGCTTCCAGACAGTTTCGGGGCGAGACGCCACATGCATTTCATATGTGGTGGCTCAGGTGACCAGGAACACCCCCAGCAGGCTCTGGCTGGAATTACTGATCAGGGTGCGAGTGAAACGGGGACAAAGGCCTCCACGGGTCGGGTCCTGACAGGGTCTGTCCGTGGTGGCTCTGTTGGAGAGGTTAAAAACTGCAGCCTGCTTTTTTTGTGCTTGCTCGGCGAGCACGATTACGTGTCTGCGCCTCGGCTCAGACACGACATGCAAAATTAGACCTGTGTCCTGAGCCAAGTCGTCTGGGAAGAATTAGACTTCCTGTGGAAGAGAACCTGTGTTAACACCAGACTATAGTCTGGACCGCAGACTATTTTTAAGGTGTATGTTTTACACCTACTGAACTCCTCATTTAGCCACCTAGCTTTAAATATCCTCTATTTTAACTGAACTTGAAGTACTAACTAAAGATGGCTGATTACTTGCCTAAATATAACTAAAGTCTACGAAAATGTTTAAAATAGTCAACAGGAATAGCTCAAATTAGACAAGTAGGCATTGCTAACAGTTAGCTTAGAGGAAAAGGTACAGTTAAAAAAAAAGGTTAATATAGTTAGAAATATATATTTAACTGTGTGAAATCAGCTACACAAAAGAATAAAAGTAGCACAATATTCTCAGGAAATTGCTTAAATTTAGTTAAACGTAAGGCCAAATTAGGTACAGGTTAGCCAGGAAATGTCTTGCATGAAATTGATCAGAATGACCTAAAAAGTATATTAAAATGGTCAGATAGCTAAACTAGCACAACTGCTAAGTTAGATGCAACCATAGATACTGTAGCTATCCTAAAGCTATAGTTAGCCTTAAAAGTAAAGTAAAAATTCAACTTTCCTACAGCAATGATAGCCAACTGTTAGCCAAAAGTGGCTAATTATAGCATGAATTCAAGCACACACTTGAAATTTAACCAAAAATACCTTGATGTTAGCAAAAATATTTGATCAAGGGAAAGATCAGCTCAGATCACTCTGAACACGCCTCGTGTAACTTTTACAAGTGTACAGCATTAGCAACATCATAAATTCTTCAGCCTTAATTATTGACAGCACTTCAGCAGAAACACTCTCGCCCATAAACTATAAATGTACATGATATTTGTCACTGCTGCGTTCTCTGCCAACCGGGGTTCCTTTGAGCAAACAAACAAGTTTGGGTAGATTTAAAGTAGTTATACCTAAAAACCATGTTGTTTCTGGACTTATATTAACCTATATTTTAACGCTTTTGGCTAATCTTTAGCTAACAATTCTTGGACAAACCCTTTTTTACAAGATTCTTAGATTTTAAATTTTGACTATTTTGTTTTTGCAAGTCGAACATCATTAATTTTAAAGAGCATTTATATTTTTATAGGACAGCAGTGAACATTTAAACATATTGATTCGTGTCGTCCTTGCAGCAAATTTGGCCACTGTTTTTAGTTGCTGTAGTTCAAACACAGATTACATAATCCAGTCACTGAGGGCAGAAAAAGTTGTCATTGTTGACATTTACGCTGCATGGGTCTGAACCTCTGACCTGTGAGCACGGACGGTTTGATCCAATCCTGTTTCCTTCTGCTGGGAGTCTGTGAGGGTGAGGGAAAGCCTCCGGTCGTGACGTCTGTAGCGGAAGAAAAAAAAAGAAAAAGAAAAAGAGGGGGCGTTCAAGAAATATATTGCATAATTTGAACAGTTTATTCAGTATTTCCGCTCAAACGTGATAAAAAACACACCACGCAAATAGCACGAAACCCCCCAGCAACAACAACCACGCTCGCTCGACGTGGAGCCTGTGTACCGGCTGCTGGTGCCTCTGCTGAGGAACCTTTATTCAAAAAAACAAAAACACAGAAAGCCTCTACTGAATGAGGTTAGGAAAAAAACAAAACAGGTGTCAACACTATATTCAGACTCCAGTCTCCCTTAAACGTGGAGGAACGATCAGCTGGAGAGCGTGTTACTGTGTTAGCAAACACCATACGGTGGACATTAAGCTAAGACCCACATGGTGATATGGATTAAAGTCCTTCTGTTAGCCTGGCAGGTGGAGGTGATGTTGTCCTCTGGACAGGATGTGATCCCAATTATAATTATAATCCTAATCCCAATGGAAAACACAGGTTAAGGGAAAAATGCAGCACGACAGGATAATCCATCTTCATCCATCAGAGCATCACAGCAGAAGAACGAGAAAATGAGTTTGTCTTTTTTGATATAATAACAGAAGCTAATAAACCATAAAACCCACTCTAACAGCAACACAGAAGCTAACAACACAACAGCATCACTGCAATGTTGGAAAATGAATTGATCTTTCAGAGCAACGTTTGTTCAAGTGGAAATGAGTTCCTGGTACATTTTCTTTAGTAATTTCTTTTTTTGCAAAATATTAATGTTTTTCCTTTTATATTTACTGGGTTTAGAATGACCATAGATATATATGTATATATCTATATATACATATATATCTTAAGCAGGTAAGCCTATCTTTACTTTAAGGATGTTGGCTAAATTGTCACATGGTGATAATTTCAGTTTTCTGAATCTAAATGCTAAATGTGCATTGAATTAAGTGACAGCAGCTTCACAGGATTTCACTGTCAGACTGTTGGACCTGTCGTAGTCCAACAGTTTGGGATCTAAAAACTGTTAACCATCTTTTAGCTCAGCGCAGCTACATTTGCTAAAGTCTGTGTTTTGTTTTTTAACTTTCTGCAACTTTTTCTGACCTTACAGTCATCATGAAGATCAACCCAAGAGCAGTTTGATTAAACGTTTGGTCAGGATGATATGGTTATTATTTGTAGTTGTTAAACCTCTCATTCAATTTAGCCTGGATTTTGAGCCATTTTCTGGCTAAGTCTGAGCTATTTATGCTACTGTTTGGCCATTTTCTAGCTATTTCTGAGATTTTTTTTTTAGTCTCGTCAGCTGTCGTAGTGTGATATGACTCACTGTGGAGACCAGGAGCTGAAATGTGTCCTAACCTCAGCAGCTGTCATTTCATTATTTTGCCGGTTTAACAAAAGATTTCATTTTCATTTTTTTTCATCATAATTTCAGCCTCGGTGTTTTTATGATGTTGAAGGTGTTGAAAAGGTTCGGAATAAAAATTATTTTGACCTACATTAAAGAGAATCAAGGAAAACGAGTTGGTGAAGAACAAGAAAAACCAAAGCCAGGAACAAACATCGACCACGGACTTGAACTTGGAGCATGACCCCGGGTCGTCTACGGTGACCTCTGGGGTCAGTTGGTTAGAGGGTTAACAAAGCAGTAAATCCAGGAGCAACTGAGTAAATCTCAGCAAACTGTGCAGCCACTAAGCAACACTTTCACTGGAACATTTAAAATCACCCAATCAAAAAAAAAATCTTAATATTTTCCTTAAAATTATAAACCTTTTACTTCCTCCCTATCAGTTAAACAAATATTTAATTGATAGAACTTTCCATGTAATGTTTCAGATCTACAGCAGAATGGAGTCGGCAACACAAACACAGAAATAGGCTAAACATTGACTGAAATAGAAATGGATCAGGTTTTTATCAGAACTTGACATGCAGTCAGGCGAAGAGAGAGCAGTACCAAAAAAACCAAAAAAAAACATTTCACACATTTCAATAAAATGTAGAAATGTGTAAATACAATTTTGAAATGAAAGAATGAATGAGTAAATTAGTTGTTGTCTAAAAAAATGGAAGAAAAAGTCCGAAAAGCTGTGAGGAAATTCCAGAAAAAAAAAAAAAGTGGCCAAATATGAGGGTGATGTGAACAATGTCTCACCTTGTTGTTGATTTCTGGCAACATTCTCTCAGTGGTCAGAGCTGAGTCTCTACAGCTGTTTTATAGAATCCAAAACACTGAGGTTATAACATCCAAAAGAAACACATGGTTTTTTTTGTGTGTGTCCGTTTCCATAACTCAGTGAGAGCAGCTTCACAGCAAAGACACTTCTATCAACAAAACCAACTTCGGCATCAAATCCCAACGACTGATCAAATCCAACACTTCCAAAGCTGCTGCTGCTGCTGGTTTTTACGCACACGGCGCAAATACGCTGTCGTCAGACAGAAGATTAGCGCCGGCCCCGAGCTGCTGAGGAGTCCGTGCGTCTTGACGCGCTCGGCTAAGACTGTGGAGCGGCCACCTGTTCAGGTTTCCGCCGCTGACAGCTGGCCGTGTCCAGATATAGATCTGTTATTTCGTGATGCGCTCGATGTCAGTGCACGAACACCACGGCGTGTGACGGATGCGCGCTCCGACAGCGACGTTCGGAGAGTCAGAGTGAGAGAGAGAGAGAGAGAGAGGGAGAGGGAGAGAGAGGGGGGAGAGAGAGGGAGCGTTTACACCGACGCTCGCCCGTCGCGGTCGAACTGCCCAGTGGACTGGAGCAGATACAGGTATCACGTTACCTCCAAGTCAAGTGAGACAAACCTGACGGTCTCGCTTTTCACACCGAAGTGCCTTTTAATCCAGGACTTTAATCCCTTTTAATCACAAACCACAGTTCAATCAAAGTTGGCACTGATCCTAAAAACGACCGATACAAATCATCAAAAAGGGTTAAAGGTCAAAGAAAAATGTTTTTTGGTTTTTACTGGTTGGTGAAAGGAAACAAAAGTACCAGGGAGAACATGCAAACTGGGGTGACAGTGCACAGGGAGTACAGTGTTCTCACACCGTGAGGGTTGTGGGTTCAATTCCTGGCAAAACCTGAAGAGTAAAACATCTTGGGTGGTCATCAGTACTAACAAAGTACTGCGTAAGTACAGACCGTGTACCATTTAAGTATAAGGAGAGTTGACTTGGTCTATATAGCATAGAGCTCTGCTCTTCTGTAGAGCCGTACACCTCCAAACAACATGACAAGATATTACATATTTTTATAGTCCTCCAAAAACAAACTAGTATTTGTGCAAAAAATAATAATTTGAACGTTATTTATCCCACACTTGGGAAATTCTTGCCACACAATTCCAAGATAGCAAATGAAATATCAAATGTTATACTTTTATACTGCCACCTACAGGCTCTTTTTCCAACTACAGACAATGTAATCTGATGCAGGTTCTGGCTCCACTGTGTTAAAGAAAACACAAATGTGAAAAGCCGTCGTTACGTCTCAACAACCGAAAAACAAACTCCATGTTCCTGTTATGATGCTACAGAGGACAGTCAAACTGATCCCTGCTACAGGAAGGGGGGGGGCGAAAAGGGGGGGGGGGGCGGCTCATGTGTGGAAGAGCCCAGAATAAGTGGTGCAGGAGATGAATATGATTAGATGACAGCAGTTATGCAACAGCAGAGGCCACTCCAGTAATCAACCTCCGCCTGGGGACAAGACCAGACGTCGTTCTAACATAATCTCTTCCTTAATCCCTATAATCTGTCCCTGGATTTCAAGAATCTGTCACAAAACAATGAAAATGTGAAGTATATGATCCTGTTTTTTTTCTTGGTTTGTGGATTTTGTGTTGAGCCACACAGAGAGGCTGTGTGGCCCCTGCCGGTGAAGTGGCCCTTCAGGGTAAAAAGGAGGAAACAGAGGGTCTGACGAGTGATTGGCTCGTTTAAATCTGGCCTGATTAATAAGAAGGAGAGCAGCAGCAGAAGAAGAACATTTTGTTCTGTGAGATCGGACTGACATCAACACACACACACACACACGTCTTTGCATTCATTAAAGCTGTATATACCAGTTGTTCTCAAACTGTGGTGCGCATACCTCTGGTGGTACTGGTGCTCCCTCCAGTGGTACATAAGGGAATTCGATTTTTTTGTGTTGTATGTGTGTGTGTTTTAGGGGTAATTTATGGCACAGTGTGTCTTTAAATGTTATTAGGCTAACAGTCATATTAGCAAAACATTAGCTTCTACAGTACAGGCCTTTGTTGTGGTTTTAAGGTGGTACTGGAAACCACAACAAAGTGTTTTTGGAGGTGTAAATTACTGCACTGTACGTGCAGTAATTTTTTAATCAATTTTCTTGTGGGAACATTTTCAATGGGAAATCCCTGTCTTTTTTTAAATTTGATAAAATATGTTTAAATTATAGCTTGAATTACTCTAAATACAAAACGTTCTCATGTGCGTTATACTATCTTTTGCACTGGCGCTGAGATATGACCAATGATCCAGTCCAGATGTACAGCTTGAATGAACAGTAGAGCTATGTATGTGCTATATATATATATCCAGCCATATTGTCACAGCAACTGTGGCCAGGAGGAGTCCAAATAAAATCACCCTCCATCACCTTCTAAATGCTTCTCGACCAGACACTTAAGAGTCAAACCAAATGTTTTATAGGACAGATCTATTCATTCTGTTTTTAAAAAATAATATATATATATATAATGCACAATAACCATAGTGAAACACATTTACCTGGGAGAGTCATTAGAGTATTATCTCCCAGGTGACAAAGCACTGATGATAAGAAACAAGTGGAGCAAAAGATGCAGATCATTTAAAAACCCACCATGACAACCAGGGAAACAAACATCCTGGAGCATGGAGGCAAGACAGAAGACCGAACAAGTACTAGTAAACAAGACAGAAGACCGAACAAGTACTAGTGAATAAGTCATGTTTAAAGTAAAGAACAAAAACTATTGAGTAAATGTTACTTAAGTACTTTATATTCTCAAGGTCCTGTAGATTTGATTGTTTTCTGGTACGGACTTTGGTCTAAACTGAGACTAAATCAGGGCTTTGTTCTCTCTGGTTCTCTGGAGGTAGAACTGTTTAGGTTTAGATTCCAATCCCATCTCTGCATTTCAGTGTGAGGACAACTCCATAACTCCAACATCCATAACTCTTCCAAATGGGCAACATCAGTCTCCCAATCTCCAACATTTTAGTCCAAATGGTCCACACTCCAAACTTTTTCTCGGTTTGAAACAAGAGTCTGGTTTCTTTCTACATTTTTCTGTCCCCACCAAGTCTTAGTCCAGCCCTCAAATGATCTCATTGGTTGAGATGTGTGATGACAACAATCCTAAATCAGTACTAATCAACAACAACATCCCAGCTCACGATGACCAATACTTTTTGTACAGACATTCAGTGCCAATGAGCAAAAAACTATCAAAATAATAGTAACCAAAAATGTAATCAGCAATAATGCACGTTAAAATTATCTTAAAGACTTAGTACAATAATAATGTGCTAACTTGTCCAGCTCCACGGTGCAACTAAAATGATAAAATCGTAAAAATAAATGGTTCGGCCTCCAAACATACCTCTGGTCGGACTCTCCTGTTCCGGCCCCAGCAGCACCCCTGGAGGAGACTAAAGCCACAGCAGACTGACGAGGTCTCTTCGCCCAACATAGCACATCTCACCTCTGAACATGATTCCACTCGGAGGAGAGTTTCCTGCTCCTTCAAACGTACGTTTTACTCCTCGTCTCCATTGGACTGCATGAAAACCTCCACAGACTCCTGAAGAACTTCAACCTTCTTGATGTTCATTTCTCAAACAAGTCTCGGCTCCAAACTACATCAGCAAAGTACTTTAGAGAACGGAGAGAGGGAAGGCTGCAGACAGGCGAGGAGTGGATGCTGCCGAGGTGGTGCCGTCTCCGTCTTTATGCTGATTCCAGTGACGTACGGACGGAACTCAACGAGGGAACCGTTCTGAGCCAGAGACACATCAGCAGGGACCCAGCACTTAGCCTGCTCCACGGGAGGCCTCTGGGAGGGCTGATGATGGTGGTGGTGGTGTCTGGGTGTGGCAAAGGGAGACACGGATCCCTTCACCCCCCCCCAAGGTGGGTTCTTCACGGGGCTGAGGAAGTCAGGAACTTTCCTATGCCTTCTCATTTGCCACTGTATCCTGGAGACAAATCCTAAGGGGCTGCTGCATCCACTCCGCACATTTCTGCCTCCTGTCTCCCCCACCAACTCGTCTGCTGCCATTCTCCACCTGCGTTGCCGCGAGTGTCACAAAACCCCTGCGGGATGCTACAGACT